CAAACAAAAATTTTAGGGATAGCATGTCTATGATAGGCAAACCTGATCCAAATCACTGAAAAAGTAGCAACAACAGAACATTTTTTGTATACACAAAAGAGCGATACCTCAGTGATACATTCATGTCTTGGCCACCGTGTATAATATATATACAAATGTATGTATGTAATCAGTTATAATTTATTTGATGTTCATTGATCTATTGAATAAAAAAAAAACAGAAAAGAGAGAAAAAGACACACAAAATTTAAATTATTTTTTATTCGATGTCCAGTTTTTTTTCTATATGCAAACCAGTTCGCCGTTTCTTGGATTGTTTCCTTTCTTTTTTTTTTTTATAATAAATAAAATATTATTTTTGTTTCTAGTACTGTTCGCCACTCTTTTTTAGACCTTATAAGAATAATAAAAAAGTTAAAAGCAAAATAAAAAATGCAAATTGTTAATGATGGAATTGCTGATTTTTAGATGTTCCTCACCTTTATTAATATATATACATGCATATATACATATACATATTCTAGCACATGTATTTGTATAAGATTAAAATATATAATTTGTATTTATATTTTTTTTTGTATAGTTGTATATCATTGGGTATTTAAGTGCAAATTAATCTTTATATACTTTATAAGCATACAAGTAAGACGTTAACTTCATATTTTCGATTAAATCGAGTATAAGTACAGTACAACTTAAATATATGGAATTTTGCGATTTTTACTGGTTATTTTTTATTCTTAAACCTATTCAATTAAATTTATTTCATAATATTTTTTAGTTTAGACAAATATAAATTAAAAAATTGAGTTAACTGTCAATTAAACAGCCATATTACGCTTAATTTTGAAATTTATGACTTATGATCATTGTAAGTTCCTTTTACGAGACCGTATTTAATATATACGAGACCGTATATATTATTTAAATATACGAGACCGTATAATTCAGTTATTTTAATGAAAAATAGTAAGTTTGGTCTTGTGAGCTTCTTATTTTGAAAAATCATCATAAACAGTTTCAAATTTGAACAATGTTGCAAATTGTCACAATTCCTTTTGACAAAAAATGAATTTTGACAATTTGCAACATTTAAAATATGTTCGTGTAATTTATATTTGTAGACTATGAAAAATTAGAGATTTTCAAGATATTTTTTTAGGCATTTAATATTCGATTAAGCTCATATTATTTTTTAGATACTTTTTAAAATTTGCGCCTCATATAATTTTTATTCTATAAATAAAAAATATAGATTTAAAAAAAATAATTTCACACATACATAAACATATGTATGAATTTTCAAATACATATTTAAAATTTAATTCAAATACGAATTTTATATAACTTATATATTTTAAATTAGCATATTTATAAGAAAAAAAAGTTTAAATAAATTAAATCTTGAAAATCACACACCCTTCTTTCTTATAATTCAAAAATATTTACAATTTAGAAATGAAAATTTTTATATGTGTATGTACATATGTAGATTTAATTGTTTTTTAAAGCATATACATAAATATATATGTATGTAATTTAGGTAAAAGTGTTATTTAAAATGCAGTTAAGTGTTATTTAAAAGTTTCAGTTTAATTTGTATTAACAATAAATCAATTAATTTTTTTACTGGCTATAAACACAATGTAAATATAAGAGCTAAACAATGCGGTATAACAGTTCTAAATTCACTTTTATTTCAATATAATATTCAGTATGAGGGCACGTGGAAAAATTAGCAACAAAAACTTTAATTCGTTATTTATATAATGAATTAAAGCTTGGTTCGAGAAACTCTGTATGTTCGTCAGATATTGTCTTTAATTTTCAGAGTTGAAAGCATTAAAGTATTTAGCATATTAATTGATTAGCTTAAAAATGTGTCATAAAACAAATATGGCCCAAATATACTTAATTAGTATTGCATGCAACATGGTTATTTTTCAAACAAAATCAAACCTCTTTTATACATTTTTTCTTACTTTAAATTTATACTAATTAAAACAATAAAATTAATTGACCTAAATACCAGTTTAAATATTTAATATGTTTTCAGCTCCTTTAGCAAGATTTTAACTCTAAATAAATTTATTTTTAAGTGTATATGAACATATAATCATTAACCACATTGTATACATATGTATTTCTAAGTAATCAATATATCGTTATTTTGCTCTATATATAACAGTACTGATCATTAAAATATTAGTATATATAACAAAATTTATACGAGTGTTATAACCATGTTAATTGCATTCAGTTTCAAGAACGATTTAAGATTATGTCTTTAATATTGAAACGGTAAACTTACATATTATGCATAATTTTAAAACACAGTCATATACATACATCCGCACATTAAATTTTTTGTATATATATGTATATGGAGTAATTTTTAATATTTAATCTAATACATATTATTTAATATTGTGTCATGAATAATTTCTATGAAATTTTCGATATAATGGAGTTCATTAATTTACAAGAAAAAAAAAATAAATTGAAGGAAATTTTTATAATTTATAATTTAAAGTATGGAAATTAAAGTATGGAAAAATTTTATGTGGTTCAAATAGTGTGAGTGTAGACAAACATGTTTTACATGAATAAATTAAATTTATATTGAATGTGGTTTTTCAAAAAAATTAAAAGTGACCACATTCAAAGTCTTTCCAATAAATAAGAGTCTTAGCTCAAACGGGTAATAGGTATACTACGGGGAATTTTTAAGCGCATATAGTGATTTATTTTTCACTAAGGAATATTGACTTCTATAGGATAATAAATTGAAAAATTGAAACAAATTTTATTAAAAAATATTATATAAAAATACAATTTGTTAGCATTTGAATTTTAGGTTTATTCCAAAAAACAGTAACGGAATATTTGACTTTTTTGTTGATAAAATTAAATTTGAGATCTAATTTTATATACATTTCTATGAAAAATGCAAAAAATTTTGGGAGTGAGTCTCAAAGTTTTTATGAGTCTCATATAGCACGTTCACCATACGAGAATTGGTGAATTTTAAAAATTAATTTTTTCTCAAAGTTTTTAAGACGTCCAAAAATTCAAAATTTATATTCTATTTAAATTTATATATAGAAACTCCATAACTCGTACTTTATATTCTAAAAAATTTGGAAGAGCTACAAAAATTTCAAGAAAACAGTTGTTACAAAATTTTATATTCCGATTTTTGTATCAGGCTTGTTTTTACACTCATAAATATATTGTTTCATTTAATGTTTCAGTTCTGTAGCTTCATATTCTGTAATTTGGATAAAACTAATGTAATGCCAAAATCTTTCAGATCTGATCTCAGGAACCATGCAGACCATGCAGTAAATTGAGTTAAAGCTTAAATTTTTCGAATTAGCATAGGATCACTCAGCTTATTTCAAAATCTTCTAATTTAAAAATAGTGTATTTTACTCCTTTTTAGTTAAATATTTTATTTCAAATCAAAGATATTACCTTAATTGATGTCTTGCTGAAATTTTTAAAACCGTTTTTCATGGAAAAATATTAATTTCTTTATTATAGGGTATATGGTCACTTTATATACTTAAATTTAAAAAATTACCATAATTATGATAACAAACAGATATTTTGCAGAATATTTGTGTATTAATCAAAATTATAAATTGTTTTTTCATAAACACTAATGTTATCCTAGTTAAAAATGATTGCAATATTTTAAAATTGCTAAGATCATGTGTCAAGATCAAATTGTGAATTGAACAAAAATAATCTTGTCATATCGCAAAGGTGTATTTGTATACATAAGTGCATATTTATTTAATATTTTTCTGATTTCATGTTTTTATTTTAAAATATATGTAGATAAAAAATTAATTTATCATTAAGAATATTTTAAAAATTGATATGGAAATGTCACTTTACCATTACAAATGTAGGATTGTACCAAAGTGTCACTGTTTGGTGTTATTCTCAAGTATCAAATACGATTGCATTTTAGATTAGCCCTTAAAATAATACAAATTTCTATATGTATTTAAAATTCATTTTAAATAAAATAAAATTATACATAATATTGATGGAATTGTTATATTTCATATAACGAATAGTAGAAATTATAAAATATAAATTTATGTTATGTAGTTCAATTTGAATGATTTTGGAGAAAAAAATTTTGACAGTAATACAATTACAACATGTTTGATAACTCAGATTCATGAATTTAACAATTATTCACAATAATATTTTTATTAAAAACAAAAATAAGAAATTTTCCAGTTGTCATAATTAGTAGTATCTCCCATCAAGTATAGAAAATAAATTTTCTTCAAATTTGGAATATGTAGTCGTAATTCTAATTTACTGATAATAGTGTTTTTGTCTCAGAATACCTGAAAAAAATAAGAAAATATAATAACAAGAATGTTGAGAAAAAAGAAAACAAATTCAGTTTTGTACGTAATTACCCTCTGTGCAATTGTACATTTAACCTTTAAACATTGTTATTTTCAATATCAATTCACCTCTCAAATTACGTTTCCATTTGCCAATTTGAAGTAATCGAGAAAAAAACTATATGCTGAACGGGGACAGAAGAATCATTTGGGCTAAAAATAACAGAAAGAATTTCAAAGATCAATTATCCCAATGAATTGACAGAAAATTCATTGCAAATAAAAGAAAAATTGAAACATTCAATTTAAGTTGCCAAATTTGAATAAAAAAAACTCAATTGAATAATTTCAACATTTTGTTTTTAATTTAACAGTCATTTATGTATTTTATTTTTCTTATTTATTAATTCCATTTTGTGATTTTCAAATAATTTATTGAGATTATAAATTAGTAAAACACGCTTTTTCTTTGTTTATTATACTTTTTTAATTTTAGCTTTTTTTTTTTTATTTTTGTCAAAATCTTTAATTTCATTTGACATTATAAAAAAATAAAAATTTATAAATACAAAAATTCATTCTAATTTCTTTATACAATTTAATTTATTCTTTTATTCATTTTAGATTTTTAAAAATTTTCTAAATGGTCTTTTGAAGCAATTCTTTAATATCAAAAAAAAAAAAATAATTGAGGCGTAAAAAACCAGAATTTAATTTGAAAAAAAAATCAAAGCAAAGGAGTAGCAATGGAATCATTAGAATCTCCAGGAAAATTTAATATTGATGTGAAAAAATTTTACAAAATCATGCGAACAAAAGACATTTTAATTTTTATTTTATTGGAATCACTATTATTATTGAGCTCAGTGAATGGACATCGGGAACATAAGGTATTTATTATTGTTAATTAACGCTTATTGAGTAAAATTTTCAATAATATTGTTTAAGACTTGAATACCACAGCCAGCGATTGGTTAATCAAAAATTTAAACCGAGAAAATTATTCTGGGGATAGACTCAGTGCGTTAAATTTATTTTTTAATTTCCTCCAAGAATTATAGTAATAAAAAATTGATTGGCTACTAATTTGACAAGTGTGGTATTTTAAATCTAGTATACTATTATATTTTAATTGTGGAAAAATTGAAAATCTCCTTGTAATGTTGACAACATTGAAAAAATTTTAAAAATTTCATATTTCTAGAAATTTTGCTTAATAGATTTTCTTTCTAATATAAACCAAGAAATTATTTAATTTATATTTACAATTTTCATTTTTCATATATAGGTTCACAATATTACTTTGTACCCAGATAAACATTCATGGTGTAATGTTTTGCCAATAAAACAAGTAATTAGCCATCCTGGATGTAAATCAGTTGAAATTGATAATAATGTTTGTGTTGGTGCATGTTTCAGCTACTCAATACCACATACAGAACCAAGTGATCCTGGAGAAGTAAATATAATAATTTTTTTTTCAATTCAATTTTAGTAATTTTGAATATACTTTGCTTTATATTATTTTATTTTTAGGTTATAGTTCCATATTGTGATAGCTGTCAACCATCAGAAAAGAAATTAATTCATGTAAGTTTAATAATTCTGAAATAAAAATTATAATATAGGTAATTAATTTTCTTCAAATAAATTTCTTATTGCTAGTTTTTATTTCAAAACAGATGAAGAGATAAGATATATGCATCTTGTTAGCTATATTTAAAAAGCTTTGAATTAGACTGCTTTATATGCTAAAAATTTCTATTAAAATTTTATTCATTTAATATTGCATATATTTAGGCGAACACATTTGAAATTTTCTTTGGAATTTTGTTCGTTCGTCAAAATTAACTTCTTTTTTTAAATTCTTTTTTTTTTTAGATTAATTTGGAATGTGACGCTAATAATGAATCTGATAAAAAATCGCAACAATTAAAAGTTGTTCAATATATAACAAATTGTACATGTACATCATGTGAAAAAGATAAATATTTAGAACAAATATTACTTGGAAATTCAGCCAAAGAAATAAAAGAATTACAAAATGATGCACCAGATTTATTAGATGCTTTACAAAATCGTGATGAAATTAATCCAAAATTCTTTAATTTAGATCCAGAACGTTCAAAATTATTAAAGAATTTAATGAATAGTCAAATTATGACATTATTAAAAAATATACAATCAGAAAATTCACAAAAGGATAAAGAACAATTAACTGAAGCATTGAAAATAATTAATGAACAATCTAAAGAGAAAGTCAGTGATTCAACAATTGCTGCATTAGTAAACAGTTTCTATAGAGAAAATATAGAATTAGATTTACCAAAGCTATTGGAAACATTACAAGCATTAGATAATTCAAAATATTTTGAAAAATTACGTAAAAATAATAATCATCATGAAGGTAGCGGCTCTGAACATAATTATAATAATAATGATGATGATGAAAATAATGATGATATTTCATTTAATGATGGTTCACATGTTGGTATGGGTCATTTGAAAGGATCACATATTGGTATGGGTTTTACACATCATTATACACATCATCATCAACATCAAAATCATCATTCTAAGAAACCATCACATCATGAATATGATACAGATAATTCATCATCGAATGAAGATTATGATGATAGAAGTGATGAACATAATGAACAACATCATCATAATGATGTTGAAGTTGAAAATATACCGAATAAATTAGATTTAAATGAGAATTCTTTATTACATAAATTACATCATAAAATACATACACATCATATGCATCATAAACATCATCATGGTAATACTGGTACAATACATCATGTTGGTGGTGATAATACATCTGGCAGTATTGGTAGCTCAACAGATTCAAGTGCTGCAAATGAAATTGAAAAACCATCATCAATTTCTTCTTCTTCGTCGTCTTCTTCTTCAGTGAATAATGGTGGTTCGAATAAGGATGAAACAATTCATCAAATTCATTCAAAACATCATCATCATATGCATCATCAACATGGTCATCATCATTTAGGTGAACATCTTGGTCATGGTCATTTAACACATGGTCCACATGGATCTTTAGTTATTGAACCAGATCATATTGATCATGATGATGTTGAAATACAACATTCAAATGGACATGAAAGAATAAATGTTAATCCAAATGATTTAAAACCAAATAATGCTGGAACATTATTAAGTTATTCAAGTCATCCTACATCTTCAAATAATTCTTAAAGAATATTTAGAAAATTTTTTTTCTATTTTCTGGAAATTTTTTTTTTATGTATCAATGTATAAAAGATAGAAGGTGAATAGATGTAAATGCTATTTGTATATAAAAAGAAATATTTTTTAAGACCCTAAGACGAAGGAAAATTTTTTGTCAATTAATAAATTTGGGTCAAAAAAATTTAATTATTTTGTTACCTACACCTAATTTAAAAAACCCCATCTGAAAAATTAATTAATTTTTTAAAGCTCTTTGAAAACTAATTCCATTAGTTACTTTGAGAGAACTAAAGGGAAATTTTCAAATACAACTTTACTTTATTATAATCAACATTTCAATTCAAATATCTAAATCCAGCCTTAATGTTAGTAAAATAATTGGACGCTACAACTAGAGTACGAAAATTAAGAGAAATGTTGAAATGAATTCTTTTTTTTTTCTACCCCCCAATAAAATTTGTGTACTATTAAAAATATTAATTTTAATTATTTGAATTTTTGTTGTAATTTTTAATTATTGTTTTTTTTTTTTAATTTTTTTCATATAAATTTTTTTAATTTTATTTTTAGTTATGTTTTTTTTTTATTATTTTATATGTAAACTTTTAATTTAAAAATGAATTTTTTTGAATTTAATTATTGTAATAAAATGCTTAATGTTACATAAATGTACATATACGTATATATATATATATATATATATATATATACAACAAAATTATGTGTAATTAATAAAAATTAAATAATAAATAAATAAAAAACGAAAACCACCATTGATGAATTATATAAAAATTTTTATTACTTTGATTTCTAATAAAAATTATGCCTTTTAGTGTTTTAGGTCATTGAGGATAGTATAAAGAAGCCAGTGTAAACCTGTTGTCTTACTTTAAAATTTCCTTTTTAAAAATGTTCATAATATTCAATTATTGTGATCAAACTTGTTTTATTCGAACATCTTGTAACTTGAACTTCTTAATCGAATTTGTTTTATTAGTCATAAATTCTGCTTGTTTCTAAACAGAGTGTACTCAGAATCATCCAAAACCAAAAATGTTTAGTTTTCACTTTGTAAGGGTTTATAATATATGTATGCATGTAAATTCAATAAATAAATATGTATATTTTTAATAAGTGAGTTCTTTTATTCTAGAACCAAATTTACAGAAAATTTGATAATCTAGTACTACTACATGGACATGTCAAAAATATTTGGTGTAAATTCACAATTTTAATTTTATGCCACTGGAAACAAAAGATCGAGGCAGATTTAAAAGTTTCGGAAAATTTTTAACAATTATAAGAGTAGTTTTTGTATTTCAATTACTGCAAAAAATTTAAAGTAACTACTTGTAGAAAATACAATATAATGAATTTTGAAGAAAATTTTTGCAATGATTGACGCGCTGTCGCAGTCATAGGGGTACTGTTGTTTTTTCGCTTTCAAAGCTATTCAAGTTCAAAATTATTGAAATGCATTTTCAAAAATTCTATAATTTTTACTAAATATACTAATATTTTATTTAAATTATTTAGATTTATTAACAAAACTATAAATTGTAAGGATTTCGGGTTTAAATTTAGTTCAAGACTTAAAAATATATTAAATGACTCAAAATTCTATTTGAAAAATAATGGGTCTTATATAATGAACAATACCGATGGCCGATCATCAACAATTTTCGACTCCAACATACTTAAATGCATGAGTTATACACTTTAGTACATTTTATATTTAATTTCAAAAGAAAAATAAAATCACAGATATAATTAATTACTGAAGTATTTAAGTAGTACAAATTTTCTTGCAGTTGTATTTTAAATTGAATTTAAAACAAGTTTTGCTGGAATACTTTATAATTATTGTGTAAAATTCTCTACAAGCACATATAAACAAAATGCACCTTATTTCTTATGTCACCATTACCAATGTTTACACGACAACTTTTGCATTAATGCTTGACACATAATTCATTTCTCTTGCCAAGTCGTTGTGTAAACATTACCATATTTACCACTAAACAACAAACTTATAAAATATTTACCACTTTTTATACAAAAATTAAATACATAATATAAATTAATCGATTATTACACTTTTGTTTCATATCGTCACAAAATTAAAGTAAATAAAAAAATATTTTTGAATACTAATTTTTTTTTTAACATAAAATTATGAAATACAAGTAAGTAATAAATTGAAATTTTTTCACGTATAATATTATTGGAACAAAAACTTGCAAACAAAATAAATTCTTAATATTCAAATCACATTAAAGATAAGATTTATTAAAACCTACACACACTTAATAATATTTTTTAAATTAATAATCGCCTTTTTCAAAATTTCATTCCATTAAGCCGAATACACAATAATGTAGTTTTTTCTGTTCTGTACTGCACGTCTATAATTAATTTATTATAAATTTTATTGTCAAAATTTTAAAAATATATATATTTATATGTATTGGTAAGTATACCCACATAAATTCAATTATAATTGTAAACCAATATAAAGTTTAAATACAGATATAAATTATATTATATATATGCTAGGCATATTTATACTGTACAATAATATTTTTACGAAAGCTATCAAACTAGAAATAATTATAATAGTTTTTTATAATCTTAAATTAAGTGATTATTTTATAATATTTAAAGAAAGGCTATCATACATACATATTATATATGTATTGAATAACATTATATATATTATATGTAACATATAAGTAAGTACACATTAATATATTGAATAATTGCTTACATGCTAATTTAGTTTAAATATTTTTTTTTGATTTATTATGTGATAGCTATTATTATACTATTATTATATTATTTAAATAATATTGTTAATATTCAAAGTAAATACTTGTATGCCAATTATAACAATTCCATTATTTATGTACAATTATAACAATTCGACATACATATATGTATACTATTAAATTTGATTAAAATAATATAGAAATTATAATTAGATAAAATTTTAAAAAACTATATAACAATCCACACTACATCTTTATAGTAGTTGGGTATAAGTGGAACACTGTTTTGTATGAAAATTCTTTTAAAGCCACCTACTAAAATAAATATGTGTAACTGTTCCTTCATATAAGCTAGTGTAATTGAGAGTGTTATACACCATGAACGCTATTGTTTGAATTACAATATTCGAATACAATATAGCTTCAAATTGAGGAAAGACAAAAATTTATAAAAAATCACTAAAAGAATTCGAACATTCTTAATAATTAAAATTTCAGTTAACAATTGTAATTTACTTACAAATTATTGTAATTATAATATAATTGGTATGAATATATTACATTTATTTCAACGCTACGCTTCATTAATGTTCATAAAGAAATGTTAGGAATCAATTGTTAATAAACATCACAAATTATATGCAGCATAGAGAAATTGTTATGGGTAATGCAGTTTGATCGTTTGAACTATTTTGAGCGTAGTTAAAAATATATTGCATATCTATCAGGTTATGTTTTTGCACAGTATTGCGTTTTTCAGTACTACGTTAAAAGAATCTTTAATGCATAAAAGTTATTATTTTTCCGGCACCACCACTTTTTTATTTGTCGGTTGATGACGATTGGGTTAGGATAACGCCACTATCGTAAGGCACACTTGCTTCAATGTTGTGGTAACGTTGCATCTTCATTTCAATGCAATTACACAAACCACTCTTTCAAATACACTTGAGTTTCTTATAAACCTATTTAGATCTAGCATTTGCGTTCATGCTGTAAATTCCTATATTAGATTAAAGATTTGCCTAAAGAATATTTATATTTTGATGAGAGCGTTATGTAGTTTGCTAAAAAAAAAATGCTTAAGGCCAACACAGGAAAAATTTGACATATTGGAATATTTGAATTAATGCCTATCAAAATTTTATCAATTTTCCATATTCTAAGTTGCTCAAATCGAATTTTTATATTTATTTCTTCTTTTATTCTTGGAGAAAATCCAATTAGCCTTGACCAATATTTTCGTCTATCACTTCTGTTGAATACATTTTTAGTAACTATGTTGTTATAATTCACAATATTTCAATGATAACTTATAAAAAAACTAACACAGAAGACATAAATAAATAAAAATGAAATCCTGATTATTATAATTTAAAAAAAATCACCTTGTACCTATGATTTATTGAAAAACAAAAAAAAAATAAAAATTTGTTAAAAGAGTTTTACTAACACACACCCTACCTTTGTTCTTGTTATAAACTAAAAGCTTAATATTTAAAATTAACTTCCTATTAAATTTTAAAAAAAAAACGAAATTTATTTTTAATTATTTTTGTGCAAGAAAAACCGTGCATTAATTAACGGTTATAATAATCTTAATAATTTTCAAAATACTTAAATTATATACTTAAATAATATGTAAAATTGTCACTTTGCAAAATGACGGTACTTATATTTTAGTATACATATACAAACATAGATCCAAAAGTAAACAGAAAAGGTCAATGTATTTATATATTTATACCGGATAAATAATTTATTCGCTATACCGTAAAATATTGAGTCATTTATCGTAGAGATTATTTAAAGTTTAAGAAATATATGCAATGTCAAATTAACTTGTACTGCTATGACTGCTGCTGCAAGTTTAAATTAATATCATATTCAATTACAAATTATACATGTAAAATTTTGTATTACAAAATGTATTACAAATTCTCGCTGTATTACAAATTATACATGTAAAATTTTCTGTATATAATTCGCATCACTTAACTTGTATACAAGGTGTGCAAAACTCGATTATATTTTCTTTACAGGACTGAGACACTTTACACAATACAGATTTAAAATTTAAAAGACTTTTTTTCAATAACTTTAATGTTAACAGTAAAAAATGTGTGCCAAACAAAAAATTCAAGTATATTATTTGTCAAGCTCCAGCGACTTTGTGGAGGCCTTATGTCCTGAAAGAGAAAGAATGAATGTAAAAGAAAATATGTAATGCAAAACTTAGTTTCTAGCAAACATCCAGTTGTTCATAAAGTTTGTAGTTTTCAAACAGAAATTTTATAAACACCCGGACAGATCAACCTACAGAGTGAAACTAAAACACGCAAAATTTTTTGAAAAAATATTATAAATGGCATTTGTTGTATATAATACCATAAATGAAGAAGAAAAAATGTTATGTTTTTCGAAATATCAAATAAAATTTACGAAACAGTTAAAAGCTACGGTAAAAGAATTTTTTTCCGCTAAAAATTTTTGCCAAAAATTTTATGAATCAATAACCGATGCTCAAACAATTACAAATACATACAAAGATGTGTGTTTTGTGTGTATAAATTGTACATAATTCATCAGTAAGCGATTTAAGGTTTAAAAACATAACAATTAAAGTATAAAAAAATTTGTTTAAGTAAAAAATAGCCAGAAAATTTCATAACATTTTCATTTTAGAAAAATATTTTGTTTTTTTTTTTTTAATTCAAAGTCAAGGTTCTCCGAATTTATTTTATTTTTTCTCTTTTTACTTTCATTTTTATTTAATTTCGTTATTTTTAGGTGCTTATCATGTTTTCATCAGTAAATTTTATGATTTTCTATGGTCTTTCAACTTGATTTTTTTAATGACTGAGTAAAAATAACATTGTGATTAATAAATAATGTTAATTATTAATTATTGAAAATTGTA